ATATGTGTGTGTGTCTGTGTGTTTTATACACACATATACACATATATATATATAATAATAAATATAATATATATATATATATATATATATATATATATATATATATATATATATATATATATATATATATATATATATATATATATATATATATATATTATGTATGTATGTATTATACACACATACATACACATATGTATATACATATATATATATATATATATATATATATATATATATATATATATATATATATATATATATGTATGTATGTGTGTGTGTGTGTGTGTGTGTGTGTGTGTGTGTGTGTGTGTGTGTGTGTGTGTGTGTGTGTGTGTGTGTTTGTGTGTGATCTCTATTTCAGTCTCGAAAAATAATGTGCAGGGCGCAGGTAGGCACATATCATGCATTTGTGTGTTTGGGTGCTGAGGGTGGGAGAAAGGACTGGGGTGTAAGTGACAGTGTTGGTGTTTGTTTAGTTTGTCAGTGAAGGTATTGAGTGTTCTTGCTTCAGTGACGTGTTGGGGTAGCATGTTCCAGACGCGTATGGTATGTGGAAAAAAGGGTAATATCGTAATCTAAGCGTTAGTCTTCTGTGAGAACTTTGTCGAAGGCTTTGGCAAAGTCGAGCTGTATGGCTTCAATTTGTTTTGTGTCGCGTCTGTAACGTTGTCCCAATGTCGTGATGGGTGGTAATCGAGTTTCGCATGATCGCTTAGGCCGAAAACCACGCTGTGAGTCTGTAAAAATGTCATGGGTGTCAATGTACTTCAGTGTGCTTATGTTTTGTGTTCATTTTTTTTTTACAAACGATCGATGTGAGGGATATGGGGAGATAGTTGGTCGGGTCTGTTCGGTCGCCTGTCTTGAAAAAGAGGTGGTGTCTGCACAGAGTCAATCTACAGGCAGAATGCTTGAGTTGAATGATTGGGTGAAAATGGATTGTAGTCAGGGATTTACTATGTTCCAGTGGCTTTATTTAGGTTTAGTGTAGCAGTGTGGCCCAAGAATGCCGTTGGTCGAGGTGTCAAGCAGCGGGATTGGGGGGTAAGGGTTGTCTGAAATGTCGGGTGTATTGTATTCGTGTGAAAACGGATTGGAAATGAGTGTTGAGTAGGCGCGTTTTGGGTAATGGGTTGGTCACAAGTGTATAGTTGGTCTTTTGCGGCTATGCTCGCCGTAATGTAGTGTCTGTGAGACTTGAAGAACTCAAAGAAGTGTTTAGGATTGTTTCTGACGCGTCTGTACAGTCGATGTTTTTTTTACGATGTCTGCGTAGGTTCCTGGAGATCCATGGAAGCGTATGTCTGCGTGAAGCTGTTTTCTGTGGTGTGTTTATCCATGGATGTGAGTATGGTGTGTTAAAGGTTATCCCAATAGAAATAAATGGTCTTGTGTGGGGATAGGGATCTGTATGAAAGTGGTTCGTGCTGAAGTTGGTGATGTTCTGTGTGATTGCATCTATGTAAGCTCTGGAGAAGGGGAAAATAAGTCTTTGTCTGGTTGGCCTGAGGACTGCGTCAACGAGGACAATGTCATGGTCTTTTAGTCCTGGGATAACCTTGGTGCTTATGTCTAAAACGTTATTTTTGAGAAAAGGGTAAAAAATGTGTGAGGTGGTGCGCCATCAGGACGTCATGTTTTGCGTTCGCGTTGGAGTGAATAGTTTGCTAGAGTGAATGAGTATTTATGATGTCAATGAGAGTCGTGTAATTGGCGTCTGTTTGTGTGGGGAATAATGGGAGCCGCAAAGTCGGTGTGTGTGTGTGGGGGGGGGGGGGCAGAACAGTCCAGTCTATGTCGGGGAGGTTGATATCACTCACGATCCAAATGTTTTTGTCTACGTTTATGCGTGATAGGGATGTTTCAAGGTTTTGTAAGTATTCTGTGTTAGTAGATGGCGGTCTGTAGAAATCAGCGAGAAGGAGTGACTTGCAGGTATAGAGTTGGAGTTGAATCTAAGCGATTTCGCATTCTATGCCAAGGTCCGGTCTAGGCTTAGTAATAAGGTCAGGCTTGGTAGTGATGAGGACACCGCCACCTACCAGCGTCGGTCGAGCTGTCTTTGCGCATAACAGCCATGCTTAAAGGGGGGAAAGTTCGGCAGAGTCGATGTCGGGAGTCATCCATGTCTCGGTGCCTATTATGGTGTCTGGTTGGTATGAGGGGTTGATTTGGTGAAGCTGGGCTATTTTGTTTGCAATGCTTCTGAAGTTGACGTTTAGCAAGCGGAGGGTGGTTCGGTTATTACGAGGTGGTTGTCTAAGGGAAGGGGTGAAGGACGGGAAGCAGGGAGGGGAGGAGTTGGGATAAGAAAAGTGAGAAGAGGGGGAAGGGGAGGGGAAAGGAGGAGGGAATATATGAAGAAGGGGAGGGGGAGGGGGAAAGGGAGGGGCCTGTCTTGGTGGCAGGCATGAGAAGATGAGTGTGAAATGAGTGAGGGATCTGAGAGTCTGTGAAAGGCCTAGAACAGTGGTATGTGGGGTTCAATGATATGGGTGTGAGGATTTATTGGAGTTGAGAGCTTGGTATTATGTTGATGTGGGTCGTGTGTGTATGGTGTGTGGACGGAGTTTGGAGGAATAACGTGTTGTTAGGGAGGGCGGTGTCTGTCATGCGAATGGAGTGTGTTGAAGGAGTTGGAGAGTGTGATGGGAGAAGTGGCTAAAACGGGCTCGATAAATTAGGTAGGCCACATCCGTCGCAGATCCACACGACAGTATAGTTAACTAGTCCAGCGTATAACTGTGGAGGAGCCGATGCAACTGACATGGTACCAGCCGTCATGCTCGGACCTTTCACAACAGTTATCGTACCGGATGACCCTCTGGCCCCTTTTAACGCCCTCGTGCAGATCCTGCACGTGGACTTTGGGCGGTAAGGACCAAGGTTAACATTAGCGCCGGCATCACCACAAAGGAGCAGCAGAAGTAGGATGATGCGCCTGGAGTGTTCATGTCTTGCTGTGGTATGTGTTGGAGTGCCGTGGGGCTGCGAGGGAGTGGAGCGGGGCACTGCTTGTTTGGGACATGTGGGCGCGGTGGATGTCTGCTTATGCTTAAGGATTTGCGCATGAAGTCAGAGTATAATGAGTATTAATGTAAAAGCAAGAAAGGTAATGTGTAAAAGTACGTGGCATCTACTACTGTCTTCTCTTACCTTTCTTGAGCGCGAGCGGGTTACATGGGTTCCCGACCTAGAGTGAACTGTCAAGTAGCCGTCATGGCGCAGAACAAGCGTGCGTATAAATGTATAAGTGATAGCGTATAAAAAGTCAAAACTGGTTAAAAAAGAGGAGAAAATACTAAAATATATATGTAAAATGGTGTGTTTTCCTTAAATATAACAAATTAAAGTGTGCATTGTGATGTATTCCACTTAGTTTAGCGGGGGAGATGTGAGGGAAAGGATGGGCGGAGTGGGTGAAAACACGTCCACCCGCTACGGTGTCCAGCAACAAACAACCAACCGCTATTTTGAAATCTACACACACACACATACATACATACATACATACATACATATATATATATATATATATATATATATATATATATATATATATATATATATACATACGTACATATCTATTCGTGTTATCAAATAGCATAAGGCCAAGAGAATCATAGTTCCTGTTTTGCGTCCACCGCCCGCTGGTCCCGACAATGCCCACCAAAAAAAATCATTATTTTCAATAAATTTCATCATTCCCTAAAAAGTATGATTTTCTGACTTTGAAAAGCTGTTCTCTTGTCATGCTTTTTAGATACAATACTTTTATAAGTAAATATGAAAGAAAAGTGCCATGATTACCCTCAATAACTAAGATGATCTAACGACTTTGAAAAGCTGTTGTTTTCCTTTTTAAATGCTTGTAGAAATGGATAATGAACAATGTTTAATGAAAAGCCGCATCAGTTTTAATTTTGCCCGGACGCAGAACAGGAACTTTAATTCTTATGGCCTAATATAACAAAATATATCATCCACTATAATACATCGAATACATAGGCCAGATATTTTGAGATCTTCTCAGCTCTATATAATTATATTCTAAATAGTGTTTACAGCATCAGTAACTAAAATGCGTTCCAACTTTACCACCCTTTCGTCCGTAATTCAGTTTAATCGAAATATATTTAAAATAGTCTATCCACGCAATTAAGGACTAAAAGAAAAGAAAACGAAAACTTTTGTCTTTATCTATAGAAAACGTTACACTGCAAGGGGTGACTTCCATTTTACGTTTTACCCAACTCCACTCGCTGCAGGTCCAGTTCCATACAGCCTTCGTTTAGAGGAAAAATGATATATGCAAACGATAGAGCTTATGTAAACAAAGCAATGATGCCGTTTCAATTTTGTACATTCATTCTAATCTCTGAGTTCCGTGCGTAAATAAAGCACGCGCAACGGTACACGAAGGAGATTTTGTTTCTGTTTCAAAATATGTAACAATACACCAGTAATACTCACATGATATTGAGCATTTACAATAACAAATATATTTCTTACTCTGTGCAAATCGATGTGTCTGACCCATATCACAGACAAGAGGGGCCTGAAGAATTGCGCGGTATTTTTAAAATGATGTACGCGTGTGTATCAGTTTCTCTCCGTACTTTTCAAGAATGTTATTGTAAATCGAAAACGTGCGATATGATAGTTACGATACCTAAAGCACCAAATGAAATATTTGTAACGTATCACACGACATCAGAGGTGTCATAGGTATGTATAGGAAATTTGATTAGTAATCGAAAATGCAGACCAGGGGCCGGATACTCAAAACAGTTTGTAATGTTGTATCTCACATCGGAGCCGTTACAATGTCCGCCGTTATGACATCACACATTGTAAAGTATCTTGTAAAATACAACACCTCGAGAGCTCTTGTACGGGTACCAACCCGGATATAGGAACTTTTTATTTATCCGTTACACGGTCGGCATAATTTTATTTATCGGTTACATAGACAAGCTGCAGAGGAAATATTGGGGATGACATCTGGTAAAGGACCACCCAATGACAAGGAAACTTGGTGGTGGAAGGAAGAACTCTCGGAAACTATAAAGCAGAAGATTGCAAGGAAGGAATATTATAAAAACAGAAATGAGGAAAATAAAGTAAGGCCTAAAACAGCGAACAAAGCAGCAGAGAAAGCAGTGGCAGTAGCTAAAGCTGAGGCAAGGGAAGAAATGTATCAAAAACTCGATACAAGAGGAGGACAGAAAAAGATCTATATAATAGCAAAGGCCAGAGACAGGAGTACGAAAGATCAGACATGTATCAGGCATATGAAGGATACAGAAGGAAATGTTTTGTATAATGATGATGCTATAAATTGGAGATGGAAGGAATATTTTGAAAACTTAATGAATGTAGAGAACCCAAGAGTGGAAATAGGAGCGGGCTTACCAACAGAGAGGAGGACTGATAACATATCACGTAGAGAAGTGGAAAAGGCGCTAAGATTAATGAATTCAAACAAAGCCATTGGACCGGATAACATCCCGATGGAAGCATGGAAAAGCCTTGGGGAGGCTGCTGTAGATGTTTTGTGGGATCTTTTAAATAAAATATATGAGCAAGAGAAAATTCCATCGAAGTGGAGGAAGAGCACTATTGTGCCCATATATAAACAGAAGGGTAACATCCAGGACTGCACTAACTACAGGGGAATTAAATTGATCTCACATACAATGAAGCTTTGGGAGAGGACTATTGGAATGAGGATCGAGGCTGAAACGGTCATCAGTGAGAACCAGTCTGGATTTGTTTAGGGAAGACAGACATCAGAAGCTATTTTTGCCTTAAGACAGACAATGGAAAAGTACAGGGAGAAACAGAAGGGACTGCACATGGCTTTCATTGACCTCGAGAAGGCGTATGACCGTGTACCGAGGTCAGAGCTATGGAGGCGCATGAGAGAAAAGGGAGTGAGCGAGAAGTATGTAAGATTGGTTCAAGATATGTATAGGGATGTAACACCACAAGTTAGTAGTTGCGTCGGAATAACGGATGAATTTAACATCAAAGTAGGACTCCACCAGGGCTCTACTCTCAGTCCGTATATCTTCGACCTTATAATGGACGTTCTAAGCGAAGGAGTTCGAAAGAAGGCACCTTGGACAATGTTATTTGCGGATGACATTGTCTTGGTGTGTAATACTAAAGAATCATTGAGAGACAAACTTTCGCAATGGAAGAAGGCTTTGGAGGACCGAGTCTTGAAGATAAGCAGAACAAAGTCTGAGTACCTCTCATTTAATGAATTTGAGGAGGAAAATGGGGTGGAAATGGATGACGAGATCATTAAGAGGGTACCAGCATTTAAATATCTAGGCTCACATGTGACAGAGAATGGTGAACTGGATGTAGAAGTAAAGCAACGCATTCAGTCAGGGTGGCAGGCATGGAGATTTTCAGGAGTACTCTGCGACAAGAAGATTAGCGCAAGACTCAAAGGAAAGGTTTATAAAATAGCTGTGAGACCTGCTATCCTTTATGGAAGCGAGACATGGCCAATTAAGAGTGTGCATGAAAAGAAGGTGAATGTAGCAAAGATGAGGATGTTAAGGTGGATGTGTGGTGTCACGAGGAAGGATAAGATCAGGAATGACTACATCAGAGGTACAGTCAAGGTCACAGAAGTGAGTGCAAAGATACAAGAAAGAAGGATTAACTGGTATGGGCATGTCATCAGAAGTGAAGAAGACTATATTGGAAACCGAGTTATGGAAATGCACGTGGATGGACGTAGAAGGAGAGGTAGAACCAAGTTAAGTTGGAGGGACAGGCTGAAAGAAGATTTGGAAGACAAGGGACACAGAAGGGAAAATGCAATGGACAGAGCAAGATGGAAGAGGCTAGCGAGGAACAGTGACCCCATATAGAAATGGGAATAAGTTGAAGAAAAAGAAAGAAGATAGTCGGCATTATCTTATATAGCCCTTATTTAATCACACAAAGCTTTTTTATATGTTCAACACCGGAAATTCTTGATATTCAGTATTGACTTGCCTTGTATTTTTAATTATCGTGATTTGAATATATCATAACTTGAATGCCAACACTGTTGACAGACGACAAACACAACTTGCAATTGATAACCATTTATATATGTATATATATTCACACACATTTGTGTGTGTGTTTGTGTGTGTGTGTGTGTGAGTGTGTGTGTGTGTGTGTGTGTGTGTGTGTGTGTGTGTGTGTGTGTGTGTGTGTGTGTGTGTGTGTGTGTGTGTGTGTGTGTGCATAAATATATATATGTATATATATACATATAGATGTATATGTATGTATGTATACATATTTATATGTATATCTAAATATGTACTCGTATGTATACTTATATATGTGTATACGTATATGTATGCATGTATATATACGTATATGTATGTATGTATACGTATGTATGTATGTATACGTATGTATATATACGTACATATGTATGTATACGTACATATGTATGTATGTATATGTACATATGTATGTATGTATACGTACCTATGTATGTATGTATACGTATATGTATACGTACCTATGTATGTATGTATACGTACATATGTATGTATACGTACATATGTATGTATACGTACATATGTATGTATGTATACGTACATATGTATATATACGTACATATGTATATATACGTACATATGTATGTATACGTACATACGTATGTATGTATACGTACCTATGTATGTATACGTACATATGTATGTATGTATGCGTACCTATGTATGTATACGTACATATGTATGTAGTATACGTACATATGTATGTAAGTATACGTACATAAGTATGTATGCATGTATAAGTACATATGTATGTATGTATACGTACATATGTATGTATGTATACGTACATATGTATGTATGTATACGTACGTATGTACATATGTATGTATGTACGTACATATGTATGTATGTATACGTACATATGTATGTATGTATACGTACATATGTATATGTATACGTACATATGTATGCATGTTACGTACATATGTATGTATGTATACGTACATAATGTATACGTACATATGTATGCATGTATACGTACATATGTATGTATATGTATACGTATGTATGTATGTATACGTACATATGTATGTATGTATACGTACATATGTATGTATGTATACGTACATATGTATGTATGTATACGTACATATGTATGTATGTATATACGTACATATGTATGTATGTATGTATGTGTATGTATACGTACATGTATGTATGTATGTATACGTACATATGTATGTATGTATACGTACATATGTATGTATGTACATATGTATATGTATACGTACATATGTATGTATGTATACGTACTTATGTATGTATGTATACGTACATATGTATGTATGTATACGTACATATGTATGTATGTATACGTACATATGTATGTATGTATACGTACATATGTATGTATGCATACGTACATATGTATGTATACGTACATATGTATGTATACGTACATATGTATGTATATACGTACATGTATGTATGTATACGTACATATGTATGTATGCATACGTACATATGTATGTATGTATACGTACATATGTATGTATGTATACGTACATATGTATGTATACGTACATATGTATGTATGTATACGTACATATGTATGTATGTATACGTACATATGTATGTATGTATACGTACATATGTATGTATGTATACGTACATATGCATGTATGTATGTATGTATATGTACATATGTATGTATGTATAGGTACATATGTATGTATGTATGTACGTATATATGTGTGTACATATACATACATATATAAGTATATATACGAGTACATATATACATATACATATATACTTATATACATATACACATGTACATTCATATAAACATACATATATGTACTTATGTATATGTATGTATGTATATATAATATATATATTCATTGTGTGTGTGTGTGAACTGCAGTATTTTTATACCTTTCTATTTTTGCTAAATCAATCGGCATAAAGCATATCTTACTAGTATCTTGGATATGTAAGAAAAAATATTTCTTTTTTACAGTAGATATTCTAAATTTAGGTTATAATAAAGGCATTAAAAAATACAACTTCTATAAAGCTGGTAAGATACATACAGTAAAGATATATCACAAAAATAGTGTGAAAAAATCTATATATACAAAATGTACTATTTTTCATATTGTCTTATGACCACAAGACAGTTACTGCCTTTGAAACAAAATCAACAAAAACCTTATGGGGGAAAATAATGTATATTGCACAAATATCATAAGTTTTATGCATAAAATATGCAAATAAAAGAATATAATGCAAATAAAGGAATATAATGACAAAATTATAATCAAGCTGTCCCTGAAACCATATAACTATTTTAAATGAACATTAGAATAGAATTAAATAAAGATTTGCTTCCTCCCTAACTCTACAAAAAAAAAAATAAATAAATAAATAAAAAAATAAAAAAATAATAAAAAAATAAAATAATATCTCTACACAAATATTACTTTCTTAAAAAAATAGTCTTAATGAACAACAAACAAAACATTCCATCTAAAATAACTATAACATAACTGACTTTTTTAAGATCTACAAATGCCTTTATCACAAATTACTTTCATTTGTGTATTGTACCTCAGTAGATTAAGACTAATATTTTAGGGGAGATAATGTAACTAAAATGCAACAAAAAAAGGAAATTTATGATTTATCTTTCACTACACTAGTTGTGGTTTGTAATGATGCAATGTCTCTTACTGAGTTGATAAGCTGTTTTAAGTGATTTCCTATATCTATTTGTACCTGAAGCATGTCAGGCAAAAAAAAAAAAAAAAAAATCTGTTCTCCTACTTGCCTGTCTGCTACCTCCTTCTGACTGAAGTTGAGACATACTGGACCTATTACGTTCTTCAAACCTTGACCTGCGTTGTTCTTAAAAGGTCTCTCTCTCTTGGACCATTGCACTGTATGTGTACTCCATTTCTTATGTGTAGTCCAACTTCTTGCTCCTCCAAAATGTTCTCATCCATTGTTACAATATCTGCAGAGTCCATTATGGGTTGTTATGCTATCCCAAATGACCCAGGGGTTGGTTCTTCAACATCTAAAAAATAAATATCTATATTCAATTTTCATATGTACTTCTTAAGTCAAATATGACAATACATGAACAAAATCCTAAACCAACATTCAGCTTACTATGATCAAAAATAAGAATACAATATATATTAGTATCTATTTGTCTCTATATCTATGTATGTATATATATATATATATATATATATATATATATATATATATATTATATATATATATATATATATATATATATATATATATATATATATATATATATATATATATATACACATATATACACATACACACACACACACACACACACACACACACACACACAGTATATGTATATAATGTTACAATTGCTTATATTATTTAGGCTGTGTTGCTTTATGTAATGAAAATAGGCAAATATTACAGGTAACATATTTATTTACCCCTCCCCCTTTAATTTAAAGCATGTTTACTTACCATCTACTTTTGTCTCATTTTCATAGACCCTGGTAAGCCAGAAATAACAAAAGGCTCAATCAAAGTTAACAGTTTCTTCAACTGCTGTGTAGTTTGTAAGAACTGCTAGGCCACCACCTGGGAAACAAGAAAAAATAATCATATATAAAGTCTGAACTTGTCATGTCTTTTATTTCATACTGTAGTGACAATTATGATTTTTTTCTTCTGATTTTGTTAATACCTTGCAA